CACAAGGGTTGAGTTTATCAAAGAGATGAAGCTTTTTATAGTTATGTTGGCATTTCCTATAGAAATTTTTCAGTGTATTTTCAAATATTATATGGTTCGTGGAGGCGCGCCAAAGTGTTTGGAGAGGCGCTAAGAATGCACTTAATTTTAGAGTGCGAAGACTAGAAAGCGCTATCGGCGGGACACAATCAAGCAGAGGGGCTTTCTTTGAGGTAGAATCGCGGCAACTACAGGAACACTTGCCCTGAGTTTGTCGATGACTGACCTAAAAATTTTTTTTTGAAACCATAATTCTGAAAAGTAGCTATGATTTTGTGAGTTTTTAGTTGCAGTATCGGCGAAATCATGGGGCGAGGAAAAGTATTTACCTGTATTTAAATGTACATATCATTTGTAATGTATTGAATCTGTTTACTAATTTTCACTGAGTTTTATTAATCTTCAAATGTATATAAGTTAAATGACTATATCCAGGATTTAGGTGATAGGCTTTCGTAACACTGCATTGTATAAATTCATAATCTGAATGGTTTTGTAATGTATTGAATCTGTTTACTAATTTTCACTGAGTTTTATTAATCTTCTAATGTATATAAGTTAAATGACTATATCCAGGATTTAGGTGATAGGCTTTGGTAACACTGCATTGTATAAATTCATAATCTGAATGGTGACCAATGTATAAATTTCGTTTATTTTTTTCGTTTTTGTGTAATATACAAGTCATATAATTATATCGGCTATGCGTGTTTTCCCATAGCATATGATCAAAAAGTGTCAAACTGAAATTATTCGTTTCAACAACGGCTACTCTAACATCAACGCCTATTTCTTACTGTGTGTTGAAACTACTAAGATTCTGAAGACTTTTTTCCAGAGATTTTATATACAGGGCCCCTAAATTGCAGAGTCGTTTGCAGCAGCGGCAGCGCGACCGCTTCGCGCCCCAGCATTCTGCCAGGCCTCGATCGATGGCGCCAGCGCCGGCGCTCGCAAAGTGCCGGGACGCGACGCGACGCGGTCGCGCGGCCGCTGGTGCAAACAACTCTACAATTTAGGAGCCCTGTAAGTTATCAAATTGCGAGTAAGCTAGACTGGCAACTATTTCTAAATGTGAAAAAAATGAATGAAGGTGTAACTTACCAAAAATTGCAAAACTGTGATTCAGATTTCAAATCCAATTTTCTTATGTACTGCACTTCTGGATAATGAAATCAGCGTGTAAATGTTACTTCTATATTATAATAGTGAACGGATCCTGATTACAAAACCATTCAGATTATGAATTTATACAATGCAGTGTTACGAAAGCCTATCACCTAAATCCTGGATATAGTCATTTAACTTATATACATTTGAAGATTAATAAAACTCAGTGAAAATTAGTAAACAGATTCAATACATTACAAATGATATGTACATTTAAATACAGGTAAATACTTTTCCTCGCCCCATGATTTCGCCGATACTGCAACTAAAAACTCACAAAATCATAGCTACTTTTCAGAATTATGGTTTCAAAAAAAAATTTTTAGGTCAGTCATCGACAAACTCAGGGCAAGTGTTCCTGTAGTTGCCGCGATTCTACCTCAAAGAAAGCCCCTCTGCTTGATTGTGTCCCGCCGATAGCGCTTTCTAGTCTTCGCACTCTAAAATTAAGTGCATTCTTAGCGCCTCTCCAAACACTTTGGCGCGCCTCCACGAACCATATAATATTTGAAAATACACTGAAAAATTTCTATAGGAAATGCCAACATAACTATAAAAAGCTTCATCTCTTTGATAAACTCAACCCTTGTGGCCGATTGAATTGAATTCTCTTCTCCAACGGATAAATCAGCTCCGCCGTATCGCCTTCATAGATCTTCCTTTCCATGTCCAAGGCGAATTTGTTCACATTGCCTCCACACAATTTCCGGAGGCTCTCCCGAAATAGCGGGAGCATAATCGTAGGCAAGCACCTATAAATCACAAATCGTTATGTATAGAATTTTCACAGGGTACAACTTACCTTCGCTTTCGACTCTTTTGGGAATCCTCTTGAGCACCTCCTGGACGTTGGCCCTCGGCTCGCCCAAGGCACTCCAGCTCCTCTGCTGCCGCTGAGCGGCTTCGAGCTGGGGTCCTTCCTCGCCATCTCGGTTTCCAAGCGAGTAAGGCGGCTGAGGACGTCGTCCGTAGAGGCGCTCAATTTCCTCAGCAATGCTTTGTCTGCGGGGCATCCCGCTTCCCTAGAAGCATTTGTGTGAATTTATGTGGAATCATAAAATTTCGGATTTGAAATTTCATTTTCCAGCCATCGATGGCAAATTTGGCGAGTTTCTGAAACTAATGGCACGTAGGAAACCCCCTCTCAGCTCAGATGATCTGCGCTGACCCCCTCAGAAGAGTTCCGTAAGCTAATCTTACGATCCCCTTTGTTACAGTGATTAAGAATGAATGATGAGCTGACAGCCAAGGGGCCGGCCAGCTGCCGCAATGAGCTGCGCTGCCTGCCCTAAGCTGAGCCGTCGCCGTCGGCACGGCTTACGCAGACAGTACGTCTTTAAGGAAAGGCAGAAAAAAATCTCGTAAATTGCTTGTGAGTAACTTACGGGACACGTCAGCAGGCTAATTTTGCGGACGACAGTGCACGAAATTGCACAAGTAGGCTGGCATACGGATGGGGATGATCAATGAACAGCTGATCGCAGCAAAAATGGGATATCAAGTTTTTTCTATGTGTTATTTTGCTATGTCAATCAAATTTTCATATTTTTCGAAGAATGCTCAAAATAAAAGTCAAACTCTCTTTATATTCTAAATATCAAGATTTTTTATGGGTGTTAATGCTAAGTTATTGTATCCGGTTTATCCCCCTGTTTGCGCAGCAAATCTTTGACAGCGCCCACCATCGATTTTTTTGGTAGTGGCTGCTATCAAAGATTGCCTCGGCGATACAGCAAAAATATCGGCACCTGCCGGTCGCGAACCCTGGTGCCGCAGCGTGTATCACTCTAGTTTTAGCCATTTGACCAAACCTGCACAATTTAGCGATCTGTTTTGTTCTTTGAGAACACGCAGTTTCTATCATGCCTACAAAACGAGCATGATAGAAACTGCGTGTTACGAAACAGCATCCGAATTGATGGCTCGCTTGACACCGCGCTAAGGTGCCGCAACGTCAACTGAGGCTTGCCGCAACTGACCCAAGATGACGGAGGCTTACTACGGGCCTTTCTATTCTAACAACTGTGGCTTCGAAAATCGGAGTTTATGATTTATAATAAATCAGTTAGAGTATGAAAGTCAAAAATTCAGTTTCCAGCCATCGATGAAATTCAGGTTTTGCAATTTGTTCCCAATTACACACCTGTGACATGGAAAATCAGGATTTATGATTTTTCAATGAACCATAGGAATTCAAGTCTAAAAACTCATTCTGCATCCATTGGCGAATCAAACTAACCAGTTTTTGCAACTTTCTGTTCCAAAATCACACACCTGTGACTTGGAAAATCAGAATTTACAATTTCTAATGATATGTAGAGTTTCAAAACATCCTTGGCATTTTGTGGGAAACTGCACATGTGTGACTTGTTCAAATAACGCAAGTCAATAGAGGCCTTCAATGGATAGAAATCTGTTCCATTTTCAGAGGAATATTAGCTGCACCAGTTGAAAGTTTTGTAGCACTTTTCGACCTCTTGCCAGTACTGTCGAGAAGAATCTTTCAGGAGATTTTCTGTGACAAATTTGATTTTTTTGTTGTAATTTATAATAGTTCGAAAGCTGTATGAAATGGTAAAGCATTCATTTATTTGAAATATCAATTTGAAACTGCTACGAACTGCTCTTATTATAATACGATGTATTGGCTAATTAGAATAATTTGCAACAGTATTCGGTAATTTATCACATGCATTATCGACTATACAGTGACCGCCAAGAAGTTGCGGAAAAGCCGCCTTCCTTTTTTCATCGCTCATTTTCGGATGGAAAACGAAGACGAAAAAAGGTTGGATTGCATATGGTGATAGAACTCACCAAGAGCTACAAACCACACATTGCGCTTCCTGGAAAACATGTATCATAAAAGTTTTAAAAATCTTTTTCTTAAAAAAGTCCGAAAATGGCCGCGTCACAATGTCGCGGACAATAATTCTTCGAACGCGGAAATTTTCTGTTAGGTCTTTTCCTGGAGCAAAAATAGAAGTTATCCGGACAAGTAAGCATACTATATCGTAGAGCTCAACGAGGGCAATAATCGGGTAGTGGTTACTTCCAAAAAAAACCCAAGCTTGAATTTTGTTTTGCTTTTTTTTCAAAAAATAATTTTTAATTCCCTTCTTCAAGCCAAATTTCTTCACACGGAAATCTATTCAAGGCATTTCAACAAGCTGTTCGGATAAAGTGGATGCTCTTTGCCATTCTCTATGCATCGGACATGTGCAGTTTCTTTGCTGAAAATGGCTCTTGACAGTGCGTGCACATGACCCCACCTGCACCTTACCACTGACTTGCACCAATTTGCAGGCTTGTAGCTCGGCCAGCAGTCATTCTACGAGCCTGCTAGTAGGCTCATTCGAAAGAGCGTGATTTCCTGAACACGATGGCATGCAAAAGAGTTGGGTATGAGAAACAGCAGAGATTCGGCGGATGGGGTAACAAAGCGCAGCCTTAGAGGTGAATGGAGTGAAGGCTCTTATTAACACTAGAACGGTTCTAGAGCTCCGAATTGGATCTATTACAAGGAAATTGACGGTTTTGAACTTCCAGGATGGAACTGGTGGTGAAAGAAACTTTGCTCAACTTTGACTGAAAAATCGTTAGCCTACCACTGAAGCTGCGCTTTGTCACCCCATCCGCCGAATCTCTGCTGTTTCTCATACCCAACTCTTTTGCATGCCATCGTGTTCAGGAAGTCACGCTCTTTCGAATGAGCTTACATGCAGGCTCGTGGATTGACTGCTGGCTGAGATACAAGCCTGCAAAGCGGTGCAAGTCAGCGGTGAGGTGCAGGTGGGGTCATGTGCACGCACTGTCAAGGGCCATTTTCAGCAAAGAAACTCACCAGCACACGTCAGATGCATAGAGGATGGCAAAGAGCATCGACTTTATCCAAACAGCCTTGTTGGAATGCTTTGAATAGATTTCCATGTGAAGAAATCTGGCTTGAAGAAGGGAATTAAAAATTATTTTTTGAAAAAAAGCATAACAAAATTCAAGCTTGGGTTTTTTTGGAAGGGACCATTACCCGATTATTGCCCTCGTTGAGCTCTACGATATAGTATGCTTACTTGTCCGGATAACTTCTGTTTTTGCTCCAGGAAAAGACCTAACAGAAAATTTTCGCGTTCGAAGAATTATTGTCCGCGACATTGTGACGCGGCCATTTTCGTTTCAAGAAAAAGATTTTTGAAACTTTTATGATACATGTTTTCCAGGAAGCGCAATGTGTGGGTTGTAGCTCTTGGTGAGCTCTATCACCATATGCAATCCAACCTTTTTTTTCATCTTCATTTTCCATCCGAAAATGAGCGATGAAAAAAGGAAGGCGGTTTGTCCGCAACTTCTTGGCGGTCACTGTATGTGCGAATTGGATATGAGGTCACCCAGCCATAATCTACGTGAAGCACTCAATAAGTCCAGTTGAGAAATTAAAAAGGCTCCAGCTATAACTGATTTAGGTTACAATAACGAAATAACACTGAGTTAAGTACATCGCCAAAGTCATGAAATTAAGCTTGAAATTTTTGGTGTTCGAAAGTCAAGTCGTCTGATTGTGCAGATGATATTGAAAATGTTGGTAATTGTTTCAATTGGCATAGCAGAACTAATAATCAAATTCAATGCGAAAATGGAAAATCCAGGAAAATAAAATCTGGAAAGGTGCTTTCAAATGTTTTCAATGTTTTTAGCCAATAAAATTTGTTTTCAAAAGTAATCCGAAAACGAAGGTGGTATGAAAAAATTACTTTGGACTCTGCTTCGTCCCTGAATTGAGCTGCGAGGATCTGCCTGTAGATGCGAGTATGCCTCGGATGCAAGTATGCCTCCGAGTGCAAGTGCACCAAATCAAACTGGCCAGCTAAAATAGAGAAAGAAATGAAATTGATACAATTCCGATAACGATAGGCTAGATCATTTACACATTTGCAAGTGGGATTTTTCTTGGGCATTCAGAATATGTTATTGTGGAGTTTGGATGAAGGTGAATTTCTTTCAAAAACTGAAGTTCAGATTTCAAATTCAATTTTCATTATGTACTGCACTTCTGGAGTATTGAAGTCAGCATGTAAATGTTACTTGTTTGGTTTGCGAGGTTTTGCTTTAAGTAAATATATTCGACCATTCATTGAGTCTTGATGTTATTCAATGTGCCAGATTGGCTAAACGCTCGAATGTTATCTCTTGCAAGTGCCTCAAATTGAAAGGTATGGATCATCACAAGTTCCACTAGTATTAGGTTGTTCAAGAATCGCGTTCAAAAGCATTACAGATTACAATCACAAAGTCATCACAAGTTCAACCAATACCCTTACTCATGAAGACCACGATTTGAAGACAGTGTCGGGCGAGATCTTAGTATGGTAATTTAGCCATGTAAAAATGGACGCTCTCTGATGCTCGGTCACAAGCGCGAAATCATAACGTTGCACCAGAAGCGAAAAATCGAGTTGGATCTATGCCTTAGGGGACACCTCGTCCAGCTGCGAATTTCAAACTGCAAGCCAGAGTGCACATACCTCTGCAACTTGAGCCCCTATGCACGTATTTCATCCCTGTAAGAAAGGGGCGGGGAACTGAAAGTGGAAGTATCTGTTTTCTTCCTGTTCTGTCCACGTTATAAAGGTTCTTGTGCCCTGATACTTGAGTATAATGCATAGCAGAACATTGCCGTACAAGATGAGATTCTCATTGTTCTTTGTGATCCCCTGGGGTAATCATAGGGGATCACCCTTTTTTTCAAACTCGTCAATGTTTTTGGGAAGTCGATCAAAACCTGGTGATGTTGTAAAGAGGATCTACTATGGCACACTGGGGATATTTCGACAAAAATGGATTGTGCAGGTTGTGAGTTTTCAGTGAACCTCAGCTCGCGAACAGTGGTTCATCGAAGATGTCGGTATTCTGAGAGTTCACTAATTTCTGCTATAAACATGTCTTGGAGTGCCATATTATATCCTCGATAGAATTTTACTGCATTTTCGTCGACTCTAGGGAAGATAAGTGACTTTGA